ACTTTGCAAAACAATTCCTACAGAATTACTTCATCTTGAATTTGACTTACAATATGTAGATTTTATAGTACGAGGAACTGGTGAAGTATATTTTAATGGTTATAATATAATTGATCCAAGATTTAGAGACTATAAAGATGAAGATATTGAAGAAGGTGGATTTGAAATGAATATAAAATAAAAAATATTATTATTTCATTGATTGTTTAATTTAAATTTCTTCTTTATTTTATTATAACAACAAACCAATTATTAATAAATATATTATTATCTTAAAGAAGTTTATTCTTCTTTAATATCTGTTTGATATTGTTGTTCTTTTTCATAGTTATCAACAATAAGTAAAATTACTCCTATTATGAGAATAATCATTCCAAAATACCATTGTATTGGAATATATTCTCCTATTAATCCTCCAATAATTCCAGACATAATAAATCCTGTTATAGTAGATATAATTGTTACTGTGAGAGGTGGTAATTCACTAAGTGCTTTTGCAAAAAAGAATCCTCCAGCACTATTACATACAAACATTAATATAACACATAAAAATCTTATAATAATACTAAATTGATTTTGTGCAAATGGAATATGTGTTGAACTAATTCCTTTACTAAATAATCCTCCAATACTCCCACAAATACCACAAACTAATGGATATTTAAATCTCCAAATCCCTTCCATTATTTTAATAAAAGTTCTTTTATTTTTAAATTAAAAAATGAACAAAATGAAATAATCCTTTAATTCAAATATGAATTTTAGAGTGGACAAACATAATTGTATGGGAAGTATCCTTGTTGTCCTTTTAATTCTCCAAGCCACCAATCTCCTTCTTTCTTTAATACTGTAATAATATCTCCTTCTTTAAATGATAACTCTCCTTCTTCTTGTGCTTGATATTCATATTCACATCTTACTTGTTCTTTTCTTGTTGGTGGTGGGGGTGGTGGTCTTTTTCCACTAGATGTACTTACTGTTGTTTTAACACTAGTTGTTGTACTTGTTGTTGTAGAACTTCCTGAATTTTCAAATTCAGATGGTTCATATGTTCCATCCATGACATCACTAGATTTCTTTGAGAAAACATTTGCATCAATAACCATTGATGATTCTCCTGGAGTAATAATTGGTGCTGGGTCAAGTGCACAAATTCTGAAATTACTAGAAACTTCTGATGCTTCTCCCCAATAATTATTTAAATGATTCAAATAATCTGTATAACTAACAATAAGAGTACCACAAATTGGAGAAACAACTTCATCAGCAGAAGATGTTAATTTTTCAACATCAGCAATAATTTCATTTCTTAGGTAATTGTAAAGGTCTCTAGCAACATTGTATTTATTCTGTGCTTCTGCAAGTCCACTTTGTTTTCCTGGTGGTTTCTTAGAAATACTGAGAACTGAATCATGATATCTATCCATATCAACTCTTCTATTATGACAAATTTCAAATCTTTTTTCCATTATTTTGAATTGTTCCATATAAGTTTTTAATGGAACAATAATATCACTCTCAACTCTTGTTTCATATGTATTAACTCCTTCATCTATTTTTTGGAACGTTGAAATAATAGAATCTATATCTGACTTTGTTTCGGGACTATTATTAACAACACAATCACCTAATGATGTTAAAACTTCAACTTGCATCAAATTAGTAGCATGAATAGTAGGTGCTAGCTTCTTAATAACTTCTAAAATATTCTTAAACTTTTTATATGATTCACTGAGCTTATTCTTGGCATATTGAACGTCACTGTCCATAGTTTTTTGACCTGCTCCAACATGGGTTTTAATTTGATAAAACTTTCTTCCAAACGCCTCTCCAATTCCGCTCATCCCTATACTAATTTACTAGATCTGATTAATATACTCTAACCTCTCTTTTTGCGTATGTTTCAAATAATTGTTTCACTTTATAATTTGTTCCAACGAATTTTGTTATTTTTCATTTTGTGTTATTGTTAAATAAAACCAAAACATGATAATGTTATTCAATTATGTTATTATCATTACCTTTTGAAAATTTTTGATTTGTGATTAATATCTTTTGTTGAGAACAGTTGTTAACACGTATTTTTTTATTAAGCAAGACTAAATAGATAATTCACTCAGTTGGTTATTTGGAAGAGAAAAAGCAGAGGTAGGTATGAAAAGGAATAGAAATTAATATAAGTTTTTTCATTTAATTTTTATTATGGAATTCTTTAGAAAGAAAAAAGAAGCTAAATCGAACAGAGATCTTTGGGTATTTATTCTTAATTGTTCTGACAGAATTTCCAACAGAATTCATAATGAGTATAAAACATTTGAATGTAGAATTAGAATATATAACTCGTTATGGACAGGATTTGTTCATTAGAGTAAAGATCAGAGAGA